TCTGGTGAAAATTTCATGTCATTAGCACCTCTAGTAATATATTTACTGAGAAAAATGGTGACGTGTTCAATACTTATTTTACCCGCTGTATCCTATTGTGTTTTTTTTTTCCAAACTGCAAAAAGGTAAYGCGACCATATTTGCATCCATTCATCTTCCTGTTTGTAACGTGTGTCTTTYTCCTGAACGGAGTGTTCTTAACGGCAATTTTGTTCTGCATTGCATCTTTGATGTTGTGTGTGAATGATGATAAAGCTGATTCTGATTCTAACTCTGATTCAGATTGGAGGGAAAGTAGCTCAGTGTGAAGGAGGAGACTGATGCTACTGAGTTATCATTCACTGCAGTTACTGTGAAGAGGGAGGATGATGAAGAGAAGCCTCTATTCTCTCAGCTTCCTCAGCACCAAATGGACCACAGAKATGTTCCAACCAGCAGCTCAGCTGACCAGATGAAAGCAGAAGCTGATGAAGAGGACTGTGGAAGAGCCAAAACCAGCAGGAACCCAGATCTAAATCCTCATGGAGATGCTTCCAGSTCTTYAGAGACTGAAGWCAGTGAGGATGATGAAGAGGAGGAGGATGGGAACAGTCCTGATTCTCAGCTGGAACHCTTGTCAGACTCTGGATCAGAAACTGAAGACAGTGACAAAGACTGGAAGGAGTCAGGTGTAAACTGTGTCAACAACAGTTTCAGCTGCTCTGAGTGTGGTAAACAATTTCTCCACAAGCGGTCTCTTCAGAGACACATGACACGTCATTCAACAGTAAGACGTTCAAACTGTTTGAGTCATAAGAAAGGTGTTAGAGAAAAGAAACATGTAGAGTCACACAGAGAAGCCCTGACAGAGCCCAAATCATTTTGTGGTGAAGAATGTGGTAAAATATTTACCAGAAAATCTAACTTAAACTCACACTTTGGAGTCCAAACAGCTGAAACTATTTGAATGTGAGGACTGTGGACAAAGATTTAGCCATAATGTTAGTTTAAAATTACACATGATAGTCCACACAGGACAGAAACCATTTGTATGTAAGGACTGTAGACATAGATTTAACCAGAAGTCCAATTTAAACACACACATGAGAGTCCACATAGGACAGAAACTGTTTATATGTGAGGTTTGTGGACAAAGTTTTAGCCTGAAGTCCAATTTAAACAAACACATAAGAGTCCACACTAGACAGAAACCACTTTTATGTGAGGATTGTGGACTTAGATTTAGCCAGATAGTTTAACCGCACACATGACAGTCCACACAGGACAAAAACCGTTTGTATGTAAGGTCTGTGGACAAAGATTTAGCCTTGAAGTCTAATTTAAACAAACAGATGAGAGTCTACACAGGACCGTTTGAATGTAAGGACTGTGGACAAAGRTTTAGCTGAAAGGATCAATTAAACTCACACATCAAAGTCCACACAGGACAGAAACCATTTGAATGTGAGGACTGTGGACATAGATTTAGCCAGAAGGGTAATTTAACCTCACACATGAGAGTCCACACCGGATAGCTAGCTAAAAAAAACCCAGTGTGACTCTTATGCTTATTTTTGAGAAATAATGCACAATATAAAAGAATATTAAGGTTTTCCTGTCACTTTAGAGCAATAACAAGAAAAAGGAAAACAGTCCGTCCATTTTCTTCCGCTCATCTGGGGTTGGGGTCACGGGGGGCAGCAGCCTAAGCAGAGAGATCCAGACTTCCCTCTCCCCAGCCACTTGGGCCAGCTCCTCTAGGGGAATCCCAAAGCGTTCCCAGGCCAACTGAGAAACACTGTTTCTTCAGTGTGCCCTGGATCTTCCTCTGGGCCTCCTCCCAGTGGGACGTGACTGGAACACCTCACCAGGGAGGCGTCCAGGAAGCATCCTAACCAGATGCCTGAGCCACCTCAACTGGCTCCTCTCGACGTGGAGGAGCAGCAGCTCTACTCTGAGTCCCTCCCGGATGACTGAGCTTCTCACCCTCTCTCTAATGGCTCGTTCACACCGAGAGCATTTTGAGCTGCCAAAACGCGCAAAACGCCTCAAGTTGGATGCACTGCTTGGACGTATGTTC